GCAGGCCTACAGCCCCATTTAACCCCACTGTCTCCTTCCCTAACCTGTGCCCTGACACAGGGCACCTAAAAATAAATGGAAAAATATCATATATTAGAAGGGAGGGAGGGAGGGAGGAAGGGAGGAAGGGAGGCAGGAAGAGAGGGGAATGGAACTAGAGAAAATAACCAGAAATTATGCCCTATTGAGGACTGATACAAGCTAAAAATTAAGCCTGCACAGGCCATTGTTTAAATATGCAATTATTCTTCTGGATGGGAAAGTCGCAATATAGGATCAAAGTGGTTCTGCTCCCCCCAACTCTGGGGCTCCAGCTTGTACGTGCACATTCTCCCAAGCTAGAAACAGGGAAGCAATCCTTACTCCTCTAGTTCCTCTTCCACATTGTCAACACTCTCAAGACACTCCCCTATACTCCTCCCCCCTCCCCCCATACCCATTTCCACACACACACACACCCCACCCCACCCCCCACCCCCGCACTATCTTGGTTCCCAGCTTTGTAACAATGCTCCTTCAGACTATCCCAATACCTCCCAAAGAGCCTCTCTTCTTCCAGTCCAACCCCCACACTGCCACCCAAGGACACTTCCTAAAAAACACACCCTGTCACTCCCCTTCTCTGGTTCCAACTTCTCTCATCAAACTCATCTCCTGCCATCCTTCTCACGCTTCCAGTATTTTAGCCACATTCTGAACTTGGAGGTCAAGTTCATGGCCTTTAGGATCAGACCATCTGGGTTCACATCTGTGGAACCCTGGGCAAGTCTCTTAACTTCCATCCCAGAGTTTGTTACACATCTGTTAATGGGGCCACTAACAGTATTTCCTACATAGAATCATTATGAGGATTAAATAATGCTCCTAAACCACTTAGCATGGTGCCTGGTACACACTATGTGTTAACTATTCATTGTTATTGTTAATAGCATCTCTGAAACGTGCTGTGCTTTTCAACACCTCTCTTTCTCCTACCTTGAATTCTTTACCACCTCAAGAATTCCTTTTTTTTTACTTTTACATCTCATGAATATATATATATATATATATATATATATATATATATATATTTAAATTATAGTTGACATTCATATTATTTATATTAGTTTCAGGTATACAACACAGTGGTTAGGCATTTATATAATTTATGAATTAATAAATTCATAAGTCCAGTACCCATCTGACCCATACATAGTTTTTACATTATTGACTATATTCCCCAGACTGTATTTCGTATCCCAGTGACTATTTTGTGACTTCAATTTGTATTCCCTAATCCCTTCACCTTTCTCACCCATCCCCCAACCCCTCTCCCATCTAGCAACCATCAGTTTGTTCTCTGTATCTCTGAGTCTATTTCTGTTTTGTTTGTTTGTTTATTCTGTTCTTTAGATTCCACATATAAGTGAGATCATATGGTATTTGTCTTTCTCAGCCTGACTTATTTCACTTAGCATTATATCCTCTAGGACCATCCATGTTGTTGCAAATGGTAAGATTTCATTCTTTTTTTTTTTTTATAATTTAAATTCTCTTGTTTATTTTACTATATACTTTTTTTT